AATGCTCTTTGCTATTTTTGTTTTAATATTACATTTTGATAAGTTTAAGTAAGGTTTAGCATTTTGTAATGAAGCTTTTTTTCCTCTTTTTGCCCTCTGGTTGCTGCTTTCTGTCCCATTAAGCCGCTGGAACCTGAATTTCCACATCCAAAAGAAGAAACAAAGTCAAGTCTGAGTCTAAATCTCAGCTTAACTGGTCCGATGTGGATCTTTTTTTTGTTGTGCATTTTATTACTTGTAACTCCTCATTTACATTTGATCATAAATATCATTTATTCATGCGTGTGTGATAACTTGTGTGACTGTTTGTTTTAGCATTGTGTAATTAAGCTTTTTCCTCTTTTTTGCCCTCTGGTTGCTGCTTCTGTCCCGTTAAGCCGCTGGAACCTGAATTTCCACATCCAAAAGGAGAAAGAAAGTAAACTCTGAGTCTAACCCTAACCCTAACCCTAACCCTAACGGGTCTGATGTGGTCCGGTGTCTCACCTTGGCGGAGGCGTCGATGTCCTTCCTCCTGAAGATGCCGTAGTTCAGGGCCACGGCCGTGTTGTCGCTGATGAGCTGCAGGACCTTGAGGCCGGCGGCCTGCGCGGCGTGCAGCACGGCCCGCCGCTCCGCCTGGTTAAAGAAGGCCGGCACCGTGATCACAGCGTCTTTGATGGGCTGCTCTGTGGGGGGGGGAGGAGGTTTGAGAGGAGGAGAAAAATCAGAGCAAAACACGCCGGTAGTACAGACATTTGCTGACATTTTCTCCACAAGATTGAAAAAATGGCTCAAAGACAATCAAGAGTGTGAGCACTAAACTGGCTCGTACTGTACAGTTTTTTTGTTTTTTTTTGTTTTAACTTCTCTTGTTTCTTATGCATCTGTGTGTGGTTACTAACCTCCCTCCCCCTTAATGCTAACGCCTTTTAAAAGCCTAACCAGGGACGAAGGCTGCAAATTAGCCCATGGCTACAAGCCTTATGCACTCGGACATCGGCCACCTGTTTGGTTGCAATGTTTAATTTTATTGTCCCTGTCAAATAAATAAATAAAATAAAAAAAACTTTAAGACAAGAACGTCTGGCTGCAGAGTGCACCAATATTGGTATTTTATTGGTATTGGTATTTTTGTGTCATGTTTGTACGTTTTCAGTTGAAAAATATACAAAATAATTGTAATTCTCCGTTTTTTTCTTGATATTCAAGCATGCAGACTCCTGCCAACATTAATTAATAATATTGTTATTGCGAAATAGTCCACAACAATCGCACATTTTCACCAACAGACCTGCGAAGTCCTGGGCTAGGCCGCGGGAATAGTTCAGCACCATCCCCAGCAGCTCCTCCGGCGTGAACTGCAGCTCCCTACCAGACAAACACAGGAGGGTTAGGGTTAGGGTTAGGGTCTGGGTTAGGGTCTGGGTTAGGGTTAGGGTTAGGGTCAGGGTTAGGGTTAGGGTCTGGGTTGGGTTTAGGGTCGAGGGTCAGGGTTAGGTTTTGGATTAGGGTCAGGGTTACGGTTAGGGTCAGTTTTAGGTTTAGGGTTAGGGTTAGGGTTAGGGTCAGGGTTAGGTTCAGGTTTAGGTTTAGGATTAGGGTTACGGTCAGGGCTAGGGTCAGGGTTAGGGTCAGGTTTAGGTTTAAGTTTTGGATTAGGGTTAGGGTCAGGGTTAGGGTCAGGTTTAGGTTTAAGTTTTGGATTAGGGTTAGGGTTAGGACATCGTTTGTCTTCTGATTTCATATAGACCGTAAAGTTTCGTTGCCCCCTCAGAAAGCTGCTAGTCACATGAACCTAATCAAAATGGCCGACTTGGATGCTTTCTGAGCTTGACTCACTCTGAGTTCCTGAAGTGGACGGTCTCTCTGAGGGGCTCCTGCATTAGCTGGTGCTCCGGAAAACGTTCCCGGTACAGTTTCACCTGCAGGTTGTCTTCCTTCTTTCCCAGAAGGCTTTGCAGGTGCCTGTACACCGTTTTGGGGTTCTTCACCGACTGAGGGTGGAGAGGAAGAGAGAGTGAGGAAACATGGAGGAGTCTGGGAGCTGGAGGGAGTCCGGTGGGGGTCCTACCATGCCCAAAGCGTTGTCCCCAAACAGCCTCTCGTTTTCCTTCAGACACACAACGGTGGGCGTTTTCCTCCTCGACTCCCTGGGTTAAAACACACCAAAAAAAAACAACACAGATTTAACTCATTGACTGGCAGCCATTTTCAGAACAGAGAGTCCCATACTGCCAGAGTTTTTGGAGCATTTTGACTGATTTTTCTAGAGCCACAGAATAGTTTGTGCTATGACTATGTAAACACCGAACACACCAAAAGAAAGAGTAGACTCTCTTCTTTCATAAGGAACAAAAAATGTGTTTCTACCTTATTCCGTTCTTCCTGGACTTGCGTCTCACCGGCG